CTCCAAATGCCAGGGAATTAACACCTCCAGGAACAGCCCTCAACCAAAGACCAAGGGGAGATTTCGCTATAAATACCTCGCATCCCTCACCTCTTCGTGGGGTGCGTGAATGTGTATTTTATACCATTTCTCAGAATTTTCCTGTGGAACTAAGCCCCAGTCGCCCACAGTGGTGACCTGCTTGTTGACGCCCTTTGTTGGCTGCCTTCCCTCCATCTCACTTTCCTCTTCACTACAGGTGTTTCCTGGGGTCCCCTTGCAGATGAACCACCACAGTGGAATCCTGGTCTCAGGGTCTGCCTGGGGGAAACAAAACCAAGACATCACTCCGGCTTCTGTAAGGAGACTGGATTGGAGGGGGACATAAGCGGAGGTGGGGAGACAAGTCCAGGTAAGAAAAGATGGCGGCCTGGACCAGGTTGGTGGGAGCCGAGGCTTTCTGGGGTCTGGACTTTCCAGAACATGAAGGCCCTTCATAAGCAGAAGCTGCAGAATGACTTCCGTGAGTGAACATTGCTCTCTCACAGGCTGTCCGAGTTCTCCATAGCTTCTCACCCAGCCGAGCCAAGCACATGCCCCCTAAGAGGAAGCAGGCATGAGAAAAGAAGCCTGTCTAAAAGGGGAAAATGCAAATGTGCCCAAGCCCCCAGCACTTCCTTCTCTCCCTCTGGCCTCTGGGTAGAAGGCCCTCTTGGGTCCAGGCACAACAGCCCTTGGGCTGGATTTGGCTTACGGTGGATGTGATGGTCATAGCTCCTCCCAAACACGGTTGGCTGTGCCACCTTCACTGTCCCAAGAGGAGGAGGACTTTGTGTCTCTCACCAGAGTGAATGCAACTCTGGCAGCAAGTAGCCCTGGCAGGAAGGCGAGTAGAGCTCTTTGAGCCCCTTCCCCCCAGCAACACACATACACACTCTCCCACCCACTGTGTCCAGCGAGTACAACCAGCTTCTCACTGACCCTCTCTCTTGGTCTTACTTCTCCTGATGACACAGCCCAGGGTGGGGTGGGAGGGCACCCACTCACTATCAGTCCTTTATCTTTCTTAGAGAAACCAGTTTATTAATCAAGAACACCATCCTGGTCACGCCAGCCTGCTGAAACTTGGTTTTGACTGATCATTCACTGGGAGCAGCAGATGCTATTGGGACCCACCTCCGCTCTTTGGCACTCACTACTCCTGTGCGTACTGATGGCTTTCTACCCCAAGTGCCTGCAGCTCTCTGCCTTTGCCCCTTTCTGGCTGCAGGAGCATGGACCAGTCTAGAGGTTCCCGGAAGTCAATGCCCTCAGGAGCAGTCTCAACCAGCGATGGCTGGGAGTTAGTGGCCCAGCTTCTTTGGCCCTTGGGCGGGACGACTTGAGGCGTTTTCTACATATTCCCCCAAAGGTCTCCGGGATTGAGCCCCAGTTGCCCACAGCAGTGTACAGACACCACATGGAGAGTATGTGGGTTGATGTGAATGGTGTGCACATATGTGGCTATAGCATGTATGTGGCTATGTTCATGTGTGAGTTTATGTACAGTGTGTGTTTTGGGGGCATGTTGACTGATCTGACTATTGTCTAACAAGTGTTTGCTCCCCCTTCTACTCTGAACAGAGTGTACTTCCCTTCCCTGACATTGGGCTTGGCCACTGACTTAACTCTAGCCAAGGGAATATTAGCAGAAGTGACATCAGCAGAGGCCTTAAATGTGCTTCTGCAGTTTGGCTGAGCCCTTGGGCTTCTTCCCCATTAGAAGGATTGCCCCAGGTGGTGCTTCCTCTTCAGCCTGGGCTCCAGAATGAGAAACGACGAGCAGACCTGAACCCACAGCTTTGGGCCAAGCTCAGCTGAGCCCAGCTGACCCACAGACCCTGGAGCAAGAAATCAAGAGCTGGTGTCTCAAGCCATTGAGTTTCGGAGAGGTTTGTTACATGGCATTACTTCAGCAATCACTAATACAGAGTGTTATGGGGGATTTGCAAAGCACGGGGTATGGTTTGTGCGATACGAGGAATGTGTTTGTGTATTTTGTGTCTGGGCAAATGTTATGTTGTGATACATAAACACAGAATAACAAGGGTTTATATTGGATGAGACAAAACAGACGAGCAAGCATACTGCAGAGTGCGCTGCATGTGGAGTTTGTACCTGGCTTCTGGTCAGAAGGGACCTCAGGTTCCTGGGCTGGGAAACCCACAGCCCCGCCTCTCTCCAACTTGCCTGTGGTTTCTAGGAAGGCGGCATCCTCCAGACAGGGGTGTTTGACTTGCCTGGTGTTCAGCAAACCCAGGAAGAGGTGGCACGAGGCCAGCCGAGTTGCGTCTGACCACACACACCCAACCTGCGTGTGCTTTGGCTGTTGACCCTTCCACCCCCATGGCAGGGCTTGGCAGCTGGGGAAAGGCTCCACACCACAGCCTCCACAGATGGACAGAGGGGCTCTGTGTGGGCAGAAAGCTGCTGCGTGCACATCAGCTGGACTGGGACTTTGCAAGGAGGGGCCTCCGAGCTCAAAGCCCCAGGGCATCCCTGTAAGCACCCCCTCTTCCTGCCCTCATTCATGGCTAGATGAAGAGGACTCTGTGAGTAAGTGGGTAAGCTCTGGAGTCAGACCGTCCAGGCTGTATCTCAGCTCCACTAGCCATGGCCTTGGGCAAGTAACTTAACCTCTCTCGGCCTCAACTGTTCAACTTTAAAACAGGGAGAAATGTAGTATCTCTCTAGTAAGGTTGCCATGAGGATTGGCTGAGTTACTTCCTGTAAAGTATTGGAGACAGTGCCTGTTTACTATTGAGCTCGGGCCGCCCGCCAGGCGCTGTATGAAGTACATCACGTGAATGACCTTGCGTGCACAGAGCACACAAGGTCAGTGTTATCTGATGGAAGCTGGGCTCCCCCCAGAGACAGACCTTGAGACAAGAATTCAAAGCAAAACCAGTTGATCTGTGAGCTAATTCAAAAACACAAGCAAGGAGAAGGGAAGGAGACAGGGAGGGCCAGCAATGACCACTGTGGGTAACTAGGGCTCGGTCCTGGTAGGGAACTGAGAGACACATGGAATCGCACCACAGAGCTACCCCAGGGGCTTTTACACACCAGCTCCCGTCAGTCACAGGAGGGCAGCTCCTGGAGGGAGCGTGACCAGCTCTCCCACTTTAACCAGGACTGTAAGTTTGTGGTCTGGGAAACCCCTGCATCCCAGGCTGGATGGCAGGCCACACTGTCTGGAGGGCATTAATTCCCAGCCCTCAGCCGGTCACACCCTGCGCAGAGCAGGCTCAGGGCCCAGAGCCCGAAGATGCAGATGCTGGCAATTCAGAGCTACCATGTGCCCAAGGGCATAAGGTTGGGACACCCGGTCCCATTTAGAGGTGAGAGAAGTGAAGCTCAGAGAGGCAAACTAATCTGCTCAGCGTCACACAGTGGCAAGGGGCCTGTGGGCAGGGGGTTCAAACCCAGGTCTGTCTGATGCCAAAGCCCATGCCAACCACCAGGGCCCATACTCCTCCCTCCACAAGGGCAGCCACGAGACAAGGGCTAGAGGAGCTGCGAGTATCGTGGGAGCCCAGCTAGTCCAGTGACTGGAGACAAACATCCACAGGCAGACAGGTAACATCCAAGCGTTTGGGGGTGGGTGTTAGACAATTAAGAGGTATGGTCTTCGGCCAAAAGGAGAGTATGGCAGCCTTTAAAGGGGGCAGCAGCTACTCAGCTCAGGAGGATTCCTGCCACGTGGGAATGAAGGCCCCATGTTACTAAACCATCCAATGTTTCAAAGGAAGTGGGATTTCATGAGAAATCTCCAGAGTATTAAATGTGGTCTGAGAATTTTCTAAAACACATTTTGAACCAACCTTATATGGACCAAAGAGGGCGCATCAGTCCCTGGCTACCCGGTTACGGCACTGAACTCGTTCTGTGGTGCGTCCACTCACCCCAGTAGGTAAATTTAGGGCTAGTATTGATCTCTTTCCTCAACAGGGGTCCCTACAGAAATGGGGGCTGCCTTGGTGTGCATTTAGCACACATATCCACCTGCTTTGCGCTCTAATCGTTTTTTGTCTTTCTTTCTGGCCACATTTTCCCACTCGTGTCTCCACGGCTGACATCCAGCTCACAGGTCCCAGAACAGCCACACTGGCTGTTCACAGGTCACTGAGTAAATAGCTGATGGCTGCAGTCCCCCTGTTAACCTCTGGGCCCTGATCGCCAACCCCTTCTCCAGGACCCCCGAAAACTCCAGGGTTAACTCCTGGCCCAGCAGAGGCCTCAGCTGGCCCTGTGGCTTCCTTCTCATTCTTCAGGGCCCAAGCTGGACCATTATCATCCCTTTATCTCTCCCCTCTCCCATTCTGTCTCTCCTCCACCTCGACTTTCTTTTCCGAATTATGCAACCATCTTGAATCCTACTTGATTCAAGGATAAAACATTACCAACAGTAGCGTGCTGATAAATGTTTAACAACCAGCTCTCAGGGAATAGGGAGGAGTCCTGATTTGTAGCATTTGCTGATTCCCTTGATGTAAATACTCCTACGCTGGCCAATTTCAAGCTACCAACATGGATGAATGTGGAGCTAGCAAGAGATATGCAGTAACTCATCATTATGTAGTATTTACTAGGTAGATGCAAAAAACCTCAAGAGCTCAGATAATAGTACAATGTAAAATAATTATGAAGTGATGAGTTCAGAGTATTATTACCTTTGTTTCTAATATAACTTATTATATTGTGAGTTTATGTAATTTAAATTTTAATAACGCCTGTGTTTCACAGCCAGGTCATAAAATTCCTGAAATTCTTGTGAGCCTATATGAGCTCGTTCCAGCACACCAATGGATGAATGAACTCAGAGGCAGAAAAATAACAAAAATGGGTGCTTGGTGATCAAAAGACAAGGACTAGGGGGAAAGTCACCGTCCATCCTCAGGTGGACAGTTCCGGCGTCTCAATTCACCTCAAATCCCCTACCTCCACTGCTTCCCACCCCCGCCCCGCCTGGACCCACTTACCTGCAGCAGGAAGTCGAAGAGTGCCAGGCGTGCCCACTCAGTGCGGTGGATGCCCAGGCATGCGGCCTGGCCCGGCTGGCTGCAGTCACGTGCCAGCAGGGCCTGGTACTGCAGCCAGCCCAAGGCCAGCGAGTTCTGGTCGTCATCTGGATCACCCAGGTGCTGCACGTCGGGTGCCCACCAGATGACGGGCCTTGCGCCACCGTCCGTGTAGCGGTAGGGCAGCAGGGGGCTGTGGAAGCGCCTGGCCACGGCAGGTAGGCTCCGGCGCAGCCCCAGCACACGGTCCACGTGGAAGGACAGGACCTCAGACAGGTCCCCAGGCCTCTTGATCAGGCCACAGAGCCCCTGGGAGCAGAGGTGGCTGAGCCCCGGAGACAGGTCCTGAAGGGCACCCTTGGCGGAGAAGCCAACCTGCAGCACCTGCCCGTGGCCAGGGACCCTGGCTTTGCCCACCACCTGCCCCTGCGCCAGCAGCTGGAGGGTCTGTACATCCTGCTCTGTGAGCCACGGGGGCACCTGTTCGCTGGTCCTCAAGCCACTCGACAGCCTGGGGGTCTCAGCGTCACACCACACAGATCCTTGCAGCTCCCCAACAGAGCCAGGCCACTGACGAGCCCCCGTGGCCGGGGAGGGACCCCCTGCTTGTCGTCCACCAGTCAAGGCTCTGTTCCTCAGTCCTGGCAGATCCCCGCCTTCTGCTGGATGAGGCCGGAGGGTCGGTCCAGCAGTAGCTCTCCAAGTCTGTAATGCTGCCATGTTGTGCCCTGCGAGGGGGCCATCTGGGGTGCCCGTCTCGCTCTGTGCCTCCCAGAGGGGACCACTGTGCCAGGGGAGGTCCAGGTCTTTGGTTCCTGGACCCCTGACCTCATCTGCCCTCAGGAGCACCAGATGCCGGGTACTGAGTCTCAGATCTCCTGGAGGTGCCAAAGTAATGCCCCTCTTGACCCTCCCTGGACGCCTGCTGTCCATGCCTGGGGACTGCCTGCTGCTGTCCACGCTCCCTCCGTGGCCTTGCTCCTCAGCACACACCAGGATGGAGCTCCCAGGCAAGGCCCAGCCTCTCCGGAACCTCAGGTTTCTTGCCCGCCGCCTCCAGCCGGAGCTCAGAGCCTGCCTGCTCTGGGGGACAGGGGCACCAGTTACCTGCTGGGGCTCCACGGGACCAGGGTCTGGGCTGGCGGCTGGGTGCTGTGGAGGGAAGCGGGTGACAGCCACCACAGACAGAGCCATTAAGAGGCAGAATGCCGTCACCAACCGCCTCTTGCCACGCAGCTTTCTCCAGAGCCAAGATGCCTGGGGGATGGGGTAGAAAAAAAAGCTTGAGACCTGCGAAAACATCAGCCCTAACCCACAAGACAACAGGACGGTGGATGAAGGAACATCGTGGGTGAACGAAGAGGGGAAAGAGCAGAGCCAGGTGGAGTAACGCCTAGCTGTCCTCGAGAGGCCCGGGAGCCAGCTGCGCTCCTGCCTCAAAGCTCAGCCTGCTCTGTCCCCAGGACAGCCCTGGCCGATGCCTGCAGGCAGACTAGGCTTCTCCTCTCTGAGTAAACTGCCATGATGACTCTAGTCAGCAAACGCACTGAGAGCCTTTCCCCATCTTCCCCCACCACCAAGTGCGGGCCCCTGTCGTTTCGTCTCCACGTGATCCCACTCTGCGGACCTGCAGTCGTCTCCCACAAACACGCTCTTCCCTTTTCTGCGGCACACGGCCGCCCAGCTACAGATGACCTTGCCCGGCCTCCCTAGCAGCCAAGTGTGACCCTGGGACTAAGTCCTTGCCTATGGCCCAAAGCAGCCAAAAGGAGGCTGGCTGCCCCGGCTTTCCCCTCTCTGGGCACACAGGTGTGGCAGTGGCAGCTCCACACGTCTTGGCAAGGACACACCCTGGGGCAGTGAGTTTTCAGCACGTGATCTCTGCACCAGCAGCATAAGCATCACCCGGAAACTTGTGGGAAATGCAAATTTGCAGGTCCTACCCCGGAACCACTAGATCAGAAACAGGGGCGCAGCAACCTGTGTTTTAACAAGTTCTCCGGGTGATTCTGCTGCTTGGGCACCGTGGAGCCACCAGAAGGAAGGAACTTGGGAGCTTGCGTGACCCCATGGGAGCAGAACTGGCAAGAGCTGTTTAAGCCACTGTATTTTGGAGCCCCCCTAACTGTGAGCCTGAGGCGCCATCTCCACCCCCTCCAACACCCCAGCAGCTACATCCGTCCAGGCACCCTGACCCCTGACCAAAGCTGATGGGGCCATCCTGGACCCTGATCTACACTGGTCCAAATCGCTCCTCAGCCCCAACCTTGCCCCGGGAACAAAGGCTTGTGACGAGTCAGCAAGGTTGGCTTGCTCTGCTCGTGCACTTGAGATCAGGGGCACGTGGCTGCCCAGCTAACGATGACAGCAGCGGCCGTATGCTATTGAGAGCCAGTCTGCAGGGAGAGAGAAGAAACAGCTGCAAACCAGAAACCCAAACAGGAGGGAGCACCTGCCCAGCTTCCTGAAGCTTCTGGTTCCAGTCCTGACCTGGCCCAGCTCTCTGTTCTTCTTTCACTGGGTGGATTTAGCCCATTTCCATCACTTGAGATTCCATACACGTTTAGTCTTTGTTCTGTCATAATATCTTATGGTATTTTTTTGTATTTATAATTTTTGAAGTCCTCCACTATGTTTTCAGTTATGTTTACTTTGCTTTTGGGGTGTATATTTCTTATAACATTTAGGAAATTTTGATCTGGGTCCTAATGATTACCTTTATGATTATATGCCCTTAAATGTCTAGTTCTTTAAACAGTAGCTCTTAAATCCGAGTAAGAATAATCATATGATTATTTCCTTTCCCCCCATTCCCTACCATTTTTTTGCTATTCAATTTTAATCACTAGTATTATCTTTTTTAATGTTTGCCGTTGTACAATTTAAAATGCTTACGTTTCTACTATATTTTGTCAGCTTTAAATGATATTCTTTGGTCCCCAGCTATTATTCACAAACAGCATGTTTGTTCTTTCTCCCACTTTTCCCTCATTCACCTTCCAAAGTTTTCTATTTGTGTCATTTCTATATTGTTAGGATATAAAACATGTCCCTTCTACTCTATTACTCCAATACTTACACTTGTTCGGTCTTAGTTCTTCAGTTAAATATATTCTTTGCATACGCCTGTCCCCTTTTGCCCTAGTTTTCCATTATTTCTTGGTTGACTGAAGTTAAAACTCCATAATTTTCTCAAGAAGTACTCATGGGTATAATAGTCTCTGGGTTCTTGCATGTTCAAAACTATTTTTCTATAGCATTCATACCTGAAAGAAGGTTTGGCAAGATATAAAATACTGCTCACAGTTTCTTTCTTGGAATAGCTTGTAGGTTCTGCTCCACAGTTTTCTAACATCAAATGATGCTGTGGAGAAATCTAAGATTAGACTGGCTTTTTACCCTGCCTAGGAGCCCTAAGAATTCTTTCCTTTCCTTCCCTTTTTTTTTTTTTTTTCATTTTTTCCCCAGCTTTACTGAGGTATAATTGACAAATAAAATTGTGTATATTTAAATTATTAAACATGATGATTTATGTATAGATTGTGAAATGATTACCACAATCAAGTTAGTTAACTCATTCATCACCTCACATAGAACTTTTTGTGTGTGTAGTGAGAATGTTTAAGATATACTCTCTTTGCAAATTTCAAGTATACAATACTAGCTAGTCACCATGCTGTACATTAGATCCTCAGATCTTATTCGTTTTATAGCTGAAAGTTTTTTGTTTTTTTTTTTTAGATTCTACATACAAGTGATACTATACAGTATTTGTCTTTCTCTGTCTGGATTATTTCAGTTAGTATAATGTCCTCCAGGTTTATCCATGTTGTTGCAAATGGCAGATTTTCTTCTTTTTTATGGCTGAGTAATACTGCATTGTATACACGTATGCATTTTCTGTATCCATTCATCCATCGAAGGACATGTAGGTTATTTCCATGTCTTGGCTATTGGGCATAAAGCTGCAATGAACATGGGAGTGCAGACATCTCTTCAAGATTTCTTTTGCTTCAGATAAATCCTCAGAAGGGCTCCTCCAATTTCTGTTTGGGGTTCCAGGGGCCCCCTCTCTATAGAGTATGCTTTTTGTACCCTCTGTTATGTTCCCCTGGGCCCCCAACTGATTCCAGCTGTCCCTACAGTGGACAATCCCTCTGTACACTGCCAGCTTCCCACCTCAAGCCCCGGAACTATTCCCTGCTTTCTTGCCCACTCTCAGGGAGGCACAGAGGAAATTAACACCTTTGGGGACAACCCTCAACACATAGGTGACAAAAGTCAGTGGGTAAATGCCCAGCCTCCGTCCTTCAAAGGGACCACTCTGAGAAGTATCCTATATGATGCCACAGGATATGCCCAGTGGGACTGAGCCTCTTTTCTATAAAACAGATGATCTTTGTCTCCCCCTAAGACACCTTTAGCTGATGATCCTTTTGAGGTGAGAGTCTAAATTTTTGTCTTTATTAGATATATTTTAATATGATCTTTATTACTATTTCACACACACACATACGTGTAATACATGCATAGATAAGCACTGTGAAAAACCCAGATAACACAGTTGGTCCTCCATAATCATGGGTTCCACATCCCCAGATTCAACCAACTGCAGACCCCATTATTGATGTTAACTTTTCAATTGTATATGAGTTATTATCTCCTTTAATCCTCACAACAACGTAGGGAAATGGGAATTATTCAATTTCCTGTTTTACTGATGAGAAAACTGAAAGGTCCAGAGTGCTAATTTGCCCAGAGTCACACAGCTGGCAAGAATACCAGTATTTTTAATTAAAACTAAAAGTAGAAATGGCCATGGACAAAGAATCTGTTTGGTTTTGTTTTTTCCTTCTACAATAAAAAGAAAACTATGTTTTCAAGTTGGATTCACAATCTGGACTCTCAAAGTTCTGGATACCACTAGGGAAAAATAAATCATCTTTTAAAAATGTTTCAAGAAGACAGACTGTTTTGATCCTTCTCTAGGCCTCACTTGGCTTCAGACAACCTGGGGAAAGTTGGCAATTGTGCAGTTGTGCAGAGAAAAAGGTTCGAAACGGCCACGAGCAGATGTCCCTGTAGGGCCACACAAGCAAAGCTTTTGGGAAAAGAAAAGCTGCTTTGATTGAACTGTAAAAACATCCTCTGAAGAGAAATATTCAGCTGAATAATAAAGAGCACTTTAGAGAAAGTAGTAAAGGGAATGATGCATGATGTACTAGAAAGTTTGCTGGTGGAGCCCAACTGACCCCACTGCTACACACCGGCCAGTGGAACCCGCCCCCAATTCTCCCATCCAAAACACACGCACGGTCTCTTGCGACGCTGGTGGCAGTAGGGAAAGGAGAATGGTGTCTGGTTCTACAGTTTGCTCTGTTTCTCCTCCCTCCTCAAATCTCACCTCCCACCCTTTCACCAAGACTCCCCCCCTTAACTTCTCAGAGAAGATGCCCACTGGACCAGTAGTCACATCCACTCACGGCTGCAGAGGAAGCGGGGTGAAAAAGAGAGTAGCCAGAAAAACTTTGGGGAAGACACATTTGAGTTCTAGATTAGCTTGTGCCCTTCTGGGTTGAGTTACAATGGGTGAGATACACAACCACTCTGCCCATTTCCTCAGTTATAAAATGGGCGAGAATGAGATAATTCCTCCCTCCAGAGACTGGCATGAGAAAAAAATGAGTCAAAATATAGAAAGGACCCACTACATAGTTTGGTACATTTACATGGTGGGATCAGGGTTTCTGTCCCCACTTTCCGAACCCCCTCTGATTTCTGGGATCTGAAAATTTTCCACCACCACCCCTTCCTGAGTTTTGGCATATTGCAATTGGGACACTTGGAAGTACAGCTCAAGGCAGAGCCAGAAAGAGAAACTCTTTCATCATAAAGCCACAGGCATAAATTAGGAGGAGGCCACCTGGGCAGTGAGAAGGGTCTTGCCCTGCAGAGGCTCCATCCAAAGATAATCCAGGATGGAACAGGAAGGAATCACTTGGCTTAAAAGTATATGGGAGGGCTTCCCTGGTGGCGCAGTGGTTAAGAATCTGCCTGCCAATGCAGGGGACACGGGTTCAAGCCCTAGTCCGGGAAGATCCCACATGCCGCGGAGCAACTAAGCCCACGTGCCACAACTACTGAGCCTGCGCTCTACAGCCCTTGAGCCACAACTACTGAGCCCGCATGCCACAAGTACTGAAGTCTGCACACTTAGAGCCCATGCTCCGCAACAAGAGAAGCCACTGCAATGAGAAGCCCGTGCACCGCAACAAAGAGTAGCCCCCACTCGCTGCAACTAGAGAAAGCCCGTGCGCAGCAACAAGATCCAATGCAGCCAAAAATAAATAAATTAAAAAAATTTTTAAAAGTATATGGGAAGTTGAGGAGAGAAAGGGTGGGAACCAAGAAGGACGCATGCACAAGGCCTAAAAGGAAAAGACTGAGATTTTGGCTTCCCTAATAACTGTAGGAAGGGGACCCAGGAGAGTAGTAAAGAGCCCGGTCCACTGAGAAGCTGTGGGCTGTGCTGGGCTGGACACAGGAGCCGCCACCAAACTCCCCATCATCGCCTCCCTCCATACAGGGTGCAGGCAGCTCTTAAACATGACGTGAAAGACAGTGTCACTTTTGGAATCATGTGGACCATTTCTTTAAAGTCTCTATTGAATTTGTTACAATACTGCTTCTGGGTTTTGTTTTGGTCACGAGGCATGTGGGATCTTAGCTCCCTGACCAGGGTTCGAACCTGCACCCCTTGCATTGGAAGGAGAAGTCTTAACCACTGGACCGCCAGGGAAGTCCCCACTGATGGAATCATTTGTTCACTATTCCTTCCTCCTCACCCTGCCATGGCTGCACTGAAGATGGAATACACTTCCTCACCCA